ACGTTGCTGCTTCCCGTGACTTCGGTGATGATTGGGGCGTCTGTGGGAGGCAGGGGTTGTTTTGTTTTTGTTTAGTTGTGATTTGTTTGTGTGTAAGCTGTGTTTTTTTCTTTTCTTTTTTAGATTATTTTTATATATTTTTTAATATGTCGTTGATAGGATTTGTTTTGGGTTGTTATTGGGGTTGTTCTTATCACCCTCATCATCATTGTTATCACTGTTATTGTTATTGTCATTATTATTATCGTCTTCATTATTATTTTTTCTTTATCATTATTATTTTCATTATTACCATCATTACTATTATCATTTATACCATTATTAATATCATTATCATCAAAAAAAAATTATTATTACTATTACTATTAAAACAGTTATCTATATATCTTAACATATTTTTTTTCTTATCATTATCATCTTTATCACCGTCTACTTCTTTCCCTCTCCATTTACTCTCTCCCCACAAGAGCCCCAGAGAAACCCTCCAAGCACGAAATTCCAATGAACCAACACTAAAACCACTCACACTTGACGTTTATAGACACGTTCCTGAAGATGTTGCCCTCGGTGTTGGAAACGTCGAGCGAATAGACACCGGCCTGGTCCCTCGTGATGCCCGAGATGTTCAGGATGTTGTCCGCCATGACCACCTCCTCGCCCCGTCGCCACAGGTACGCCAGGCTGTTGGGGTTCCCTCTGGCGCTGGCGTTGAGCATGACGTTCTCGCCCTCCTTGACGTCGAGGGACTTCGGGGGTTCCTTCACCCACACGGGGGAGTCTGGGGATGGGAAAGAGGAAGGGGGTCATTGGTGAGGGGTGGTAGGGAAGGGGGGGGGGAGGGGAAGGAAGGGGGAGGGTAGGGAGGAGGGTGGGAGGGTGGGAGGAAGAGGTAGGAAGAGAGGAAGAGGAGGAGGAAGGTGGGAGGAGAGAAGGGTGGGAGGGAGGAAGAAGGTCGGAGGGGAGAGGAGCAGGGGGGAAAGATGGGTAAGAGGTTGTATGTGAAGGAAGGAGCGGTGGAGGGGAAGGTTGAGAGGGGAGGAGGGGCAAGACGTTTAAGGATGAGAGGTAGAAGGAAGGAAGGAGGAAAGCAAGAGGAGGAGGGTAGAGTGAAGGGTCAAGGTAAGTGGAAGGGAAGGAGGGCAGAAGAGGACGGATGGGGAAAGGGAAGAGGGAGAGGGGGAAGGGCAAGACATAGGAAGGGGGAGGAGGAGAAGGGCGAAAGGAAGTGAGGAAGGGAGTGTAGGAGGAAGAGGAAAGAAAACAGATACGGAGTTAGAGTTTAATTATCTTACTGGTTTATGATCCCCGTAATTAAACATTTGTGATTATTTCACTACACTAAAAATAAAGAAAAATATTTATGTATGCACACAAACAGACACACACACACACACACACACACACACACACACACACACACACACACACACACACACACACACACACACACACACACACACACACACACACACACGCACAAAAGAGCGACAACCCACCATGAAACGGAAAAGCAAGCGGATACAACAAAGACACTGGACACACAAAGAGATTAAAGACTCTATAAATAGAAAGCCTTTAAGTACAGCCTCCCCGGGAGTCTTACAGTGAACGGAGATGGTGACGGCGTCGTGAGTCGTGGATCCGAAGCCGTTGTCAGCCTGGCACGTGTAGACAGCGCCGTCGTCGTCAGCTGTCACTTCGACCTTCACGCTGTAGCTGTTCGGAAAGGGAAAGGAACGAGGGGAGGGTTTAGTCATAAGAGGGAAAAGAAACGAAGAAAATGAATGAAAAAAATAACTAATGATGAAAAAAATGCGTAATTATGCTTCTTGACGTACTATTAGATACAGAGAGATGTAAAAACAAACAACACAAATACCCCCCCCCTCACATACTCAAAAAAGGAAAAAAAATAATCAGAATAACTAAAATAAAAGTAAAATAATAATAATGAAAAATAAAATCCCCCCCCCATCCCACCACACACAAAGAACCTAACAGCCCCATTCCTTTCTTAAACAACCCTAGCGATTCCACCACCCCCACCCCATCCGACCCCGCCCCTCCCCCAACCACCCTACCCCTAACAACCCCATTCCTTTCTTTAAACAACCCTAGCTACGAGAACCGGCATCCCTCACCCCGCCCCATCCCCCCACCCCCACCCTACCCCCACCCCAACCCTCCCCCCACCACCCCATCCGCCCACCTCACCCCCACCCCGTACTCACTTGGTCACCGTCCCTCCGAACTGGCCTGGCTTGGTCTCCACGGTGTACTCCCCGTCGACCTCGAACCCGTCCCGCCACCACGTGATGTTGGCGAAGGGGTTGCTCGAGGCCGACTCACAGAAGAGCGTCATCGGGCTCCCTGCGTTGATGACTCGAGGCTCTGACCTTGACCGCTGAAGGAGGAACTGGAAGGGAAGATGATGTTTGGTTTTGGTGAAGGGTTGGTGGGATATATTTATTTCTTATTTTTTATTTTTTTATTTATTATTATTTTTTTATTGTGTGTGTGTTTGTTCGTTTGTTTGTTTGTGTGTGTGTGTGTGTGTGTGTGTGTGTGTGTGTGTGTGTGTGTGTGTGTGTGTTGTGTGTGTGTGTGTGTGTGTGTGTGTGTGTCCCCGTCTGTCTGCATGTATGAATATGTGTATGTTTTTTTATGTATGAATATAGTGATCTATCTCTGTATCCATCTGTCTGTTTATCTGCCAATCAGTTTTTAAATACCAATCATTTATCACTGTTATTTTCATTATAATCTTCACCGTCAATATTCCATCCATATTACATCTATGAGTCTGCCAATAAACCTATCGATTTACCTACCTTTTCATCTACCTATCTCTATATCTATTTATCTACATTTACCTATTCACCTACCTATCTGTCTGTCTCTCTGTCAATCTGTTTGTTTGTCCTATTGTCTTTTTAGCATACTATCTGTCTGACTTTCTGTCTGTCTGTTTGACTTCCTGTCTGTCTATCTATCTGACTTTCTGTCTGTATGTTTGACTTTCTGTCTGTCTTCTGTCTGTCTGTATGTTTGACTTTCTGTCTGTCTGTCTATTTGTATATAAATAGGAATTCACATTAGTATTTTCTCCTGACAACCGTCCCGCAGCAAATCCAATTATAATAAAAAAAAGGAAAGAAAGAAAAAAAGAAAAAAAGGAAACAGCGCCTCTTTAACGTATACTTTAACCGCATTACATCATCATACAGCAGAGAGGTCTCTCAACGGCAGAGCTCTTGCAGTCGACTACACAATTACGTTCCTAACTTTTCCATCATTAACCCCGTATTACAGCGTTCTATTTATCGTACACGGTATGTGTAGTTTGCTGAACGAAAATAGGACATTCATTTCGAAACAACTACGTACAGGAAGAAGAGCAACAATCTGAAGAGGAAATTAACTTGTAGCCTAATTAGGTCTGCAATGATACATTTTACATTATCATTATTATCATTATTATTATTATTTTTTTTTTGGGGGGGGGGGACTCGAACGACAGGACAGTTTTAATCGCTTTATCGTGAAATATGGAAATAAACTGAAAATAACGGACTCTTTAAAGATTATAACCATTGGTAAATTTCCATTTTTTATCGACAATAAATAATCTGTCAATTGAGGTCGGGCAAAAAAAAAATAATTGTCCACAAATGATTTTTATCGGCATTAAATAGTCTGTTTATCGAGGTCGGACAAAAAGGAAATATATAAATAGTCACAGATGATTTAGAAGTGCTTGTTATGTAGTTTGATGTCGATTTATTTCTACAAAAGAGACGCTGATGATTGTCCCTATTTAATGAACGTAATTTAAAGTAAAGAAACGGATTCATAAAAAGACGTAGACGGAGTTAGGAAGACTGGTAATAAGCGTAATTGACATAGACTGAAAGAAGATTATTGATAAGTTATAATGACGTAGGGGAAATAAAAAGCGATTGATAAACATTTGAGAAGAAAAGAAAAGACTGGAAAGTCATCGAGACACACTGATGGCGATCAGATAAGGACAGAGGAGGCTAATGAGTCAATTAACCCTAATCGAGCCGCTAATTACTCACACATGACACTGAGCACGGTGGAGTTGGCCAGGGGATGCGCCGTGGCCTCGTTGGTGGCCTCGCAGCGGTACTCGGCCCCGTTATCCGACTCGTCGAGGAGGATGTCGACGTCGGCCAGGGCGGTGACGGCGTCGTGGTGCGTCTCCGAAGGCAGCTTCTGGGAGCCCTTGTACCAGGTGAGCGTCGCCAGGGGGTTGCCGCCGTTGCTGACGCAGGTGAGGCGCTGGCGGTCTCCCTTCCGGAGTTCTTGGCCCCGCTCGTAGCCCAGGATGACGGGGGTCTCGGGGGTCCTGTTGGGAGGAGGAGGGGCGAGGGGAGGGGAGGGTTAGAAGGGTTGTATCATTGTGGAATTATATAAAGAGACAAGTGGTGGAAACGGCTGTTTAATGATACTATTTACCTAACGCCTTCTCCATCCTCTTATAAATTAATAAAAGAGTATACAGCATTACGAAAACTTTTCATAATTAATAATGACACAGACAGAGAAGAATTATCGGAAAAAAACGTATTTGACACTCTACAATCACCAGAGGAAAAATTATCCTATTCGACACCTAAACAATCACCAACAGAGGAAAAAAAAATCACTGAAAAATATACATCCAACACTCGTACAATCACCAAACTTCCCCCAACGACACTCACGCAGGACACTAATGACCTCGGTGTCAATCTTGGTCGACCCGAGAGCCTGGTTGAGAGCGTAGCAATTCACCATCAGATCCGCGTCGATGGGCCGCACCTCGTACCGCGTCAGGTTGGTGATCGTGTTCCAGCCTCCGTTGGGCACCTTCTGCGTCCTGGACGTCGCTCCGGGGGGCGTCTGGCCGTTGATGACGAGGTTGACGTCCGACGGAGGGTTGGAGTTCTCGGCGACGCAGGTGATCGTGATGACGTCACCGACCTTCGCTTGGG